AAGTTGCCAGATAGGATTGATAGATTTGACTAACATCCCGTCACATTGTTCCTGTCTACTTTGCTTCCATGTACTTTGAACAGTCAATCTCCATGAGACTTGAACACTTTTTCTTGGGATCTGGAACAGACTTCCAGATCCCATTTTCAATGATCTTGAAAATGTTGTGAAAAGTGAGAAAATGCTGTTGGATTATCCATTCACTCCACACATGGAGGTGACGCGTAACTGCCACACATTTTGCACAATAAACCTTCCCACCATCACCAACCAGGAGCACCCAGAGAAAACCTACTCAGACATGGGAAAACATGCCAACTCACTCCAGAAAGGCCTTGAGACACCTGGGAAGCGAACTCTGAACAGTCTCTGTTGTTTGGTTTGCACAATAAAAGTAATAATAATGCAATCGTTTTAAATAGCGCTTTTCTGACACTCAAAGATGCTTCACATGGAATTTTTTCAGTACATACAAAGTAGTGATGGCTACTAAAGTAGCCACAGCTGCCCTGGAGCACACTGACTGAAGCAAGGCAACCAGTATGTGCCATCTGCCCCTCTGACCACAAGCAATCATCACTCATAAACACGCACACCCACCACAGCGACAATTTGGAAAAGCCGTGGCTTCAGATGTCTGACAGGATTAAGCTTTCACATGAAGACGGATGTATAAAATGCCTTATTATTTTAATGTTCCTTTACTTGCTGTAAATCACTTGCCCTCTCTGTGAATTAGGCTACAAAAACAATTCTGCCTGTTTTTGATTTCAGATTGTAATGATACAAGAAATGATTCATAATCAGACGTTACTGGGAGGCAAAATAGTACCTGAGGTTTCATGAATTACAACTAGTAGCAGGCTTCTTTAAATCACAATTTTCTAGTACGTTTCTTTAGCTGATTAACGTAAAAAAGTGAATGATTCAAATCAGACATTGGCGTATCTAGAAATAAGAACAGAGCTGTATTCATTCAACTACAATCCTGTCAAAGTGGTGTATTTCTTACAGTAGAAGCTCGTGTGGCGGAGGCAGGTTCCCACTGTTAATATTCCAAACACAGTGGGCGCGGCCGGAGCTCGTTAATCATGTTTGTGAATGTCTAATCTCGGCGTTACTTGTGCCGCTTTCATTTTCATGGCTGTCTGCAAGATTTATAATGCCGTTTGCAGAAAGTGCATGGGCTGTGTGCATGGGCCGCGTGGCAGTGTGTGCGCTCCTAAACCTGACACAGAAGAAGGATATCGGGATGGCGCGTTTAGTCCTCGTGCAGAAAGCTTGTTGCTAGCTCCGTATGGATATAAGATTCCCCTCGAGATATGCCTTATAGTTCTAAAAAGCAAAGTGTGAGGAGCGCCACATTTTTAGACCAATTATCAATATTTGTTGTGTTACTAATAACAAACTGGTTTCACAATTTGTAGAGACAAATCAAAGCTGGGGTATCTAACATTCAAACCACAGAAATGTGAAAAAGAGAGGACCACCCACAATCAGCCAATCATCTCTCAGCCCAAAGAGTCAGACTGTGATTGACGGAAAATGTCTTAAAAGTATGCAAAAGATTATACAATAGCATGAATAGATGCATGTTGTGGCCTGATATGTTCACAAAATGTCACTTTTACATGACTCTTTCTGTTGGGGCGAACAAATATTTTTTCAACTAAAAATCTAGTACATATGATAAATTTGAAATGATATGAGAGGCCTGTCATCAACGATTCCATGGAAATAAAACATTCAAACCCGCACTTTGTAACATTCTAAATAGAGATAGATCATTTACCAAAGAAGCACTCCTCGAGTACAAGTATGCTGCAAGTTTAAACACTTGCAACAATCCCAAAACTAACAATATTTCTGCTTATTTGGATGAAAAAGTTCTGTGGTGAAGTTTTAGGTTTTGCTTTGCTCCCAAGCTTAAGTCCCTGGAATAGAGTGACCGGGTTACACAGGTATATGCTTCCTGACCGTTACCAAGGTGACAGTGAGTGGCCTCTCCAGAAGTGGCCGTCCCAATGATGAGATCAGATTACATCAATGAAAGGAGCACAGAAACAAACAGTGCAGAGAGGCTAGGGGCAGGACTGTTGATAGAGTGTGCTAAAAGGATTACCCAAATCAAACAGCCCACTGTAGGGTGTGTGCGGGGGACAACTGACGCTGAGTGGAAGGGATGGACAAACACGCCTTATTAAGTGGGAACCAGCAGTTGTCTTGTTGAGCTGTAGACGTGAGGTGGCTAAATGGTGGACAGGAGCGATGTTGTCTTCTGACAGTCTTGACACACAGCCCAATGGAAAGTTTGGCATGTTTCAAGTGTCCTGAAGAAAGTCTGTCTTTAGGGGCTGTTGAACAAACTATTTGGGCACATGTCAAGTGATACTGAAATTCACAAACATTTAGAATGTATATTTTGCCAAGGTTGCTAGTTATCTTTTCTTTCTATAATGTCAAAAGACAATTCCGTCTTATGTTTTTTACACCATCGTTTTCCAATCAGGTGTACAAGGACCTTTGGCAACCCAAGGATTCTTTATTTGAACAATAGTTTGTAAATATAATATATGGACTTGACCTATTTTGAAAGTATTTCGAAAGTAAAAGTGAAAACATAGATATTGTAATTGATTTCTTTCAAAATAAATGCTACAACTTGGAGTATGCTGCTATGTTTTGTATACAAAAAATGGGAACCACAGATATGCATCTTATAAATATTCTCCAAGCAATAATAATAATGCATCAGTTTTATAAAGAGCTTCACACATTATTCATTGCCTCCATACTGGGTACATTTCTGTCACTTCTGGAGAAAAAGTTGTTTTCTACAAAATACTTCAGTAAAAGCAATGAATCTATATTGTATAAGTTTCACCTTTTCACTCATTCTTTTTTTTTGTTGAGACGCACAAGACGAGTAATTGTTAGTTGTTGTCTTAATGAAACAATAATTTTTTTCCTTAAATCACATTGCTGCTTTTCTTTTTTCTTTCATCGCCTCATCAACAGAACAACGTTGACCAAGAAGAAAAAACAGAATTTAAAGGGCAGTCTTCATATGAGTCATCAATCTCCTGTACACTTATATAACACGCTAAAGTTTTTCAATGCGGTGCGATACATGAAACATACAATCGTTAGTCCAACTGTGTGACTCATGTTCACCGTGACTTTCTCTCAGACGTCTATAGGGTCCACACAGCTCACAAAGCCATTCAGTTGCATATGAATACAAATTGGTCAGACCTGTGGGGACAGTACTGGTTCTATTATACACTACAAAACACGACACTAACCGCACCGGCAAAGAAAATCACAGGCTTGATTTTGTGTGTCACGTTAATGAAATAAAATGACAAAGGCATGAATCCCGTGGCCTCGTTTCCACTCGCACTGCCCTCTCCTGTCCTTCAGAGCAAATGAACCCATTAGCAACTCATCCATGTTTGAATATAGATTAGAAGAATAAGAATAATTAAAGCAAAAAACCCAGATAGGCGAGTCTTGATTTGTTCCATGTGTGTTTCAGTGACTGAGAAATCTGTAAAAAGCTTCTCTGTATGCAATTGTAACTGAAAGTAGAAGTGTATAATGTGAGTGGAGACGAGATGAGCTCTGCTGTGTGGAATGGTATGCAAACCAAAGCAAAAGGAAGCTTCTCGTGGTTGTGGTTGTCAGTGTACCATAAAAAGACCATATGGCTGACTTGGCTGGGCTGTGGTGCTGGCATTGTTTCTTGCAAGGCCAACAGAACTGAACCGCAAATGATCACAGGCCCAGCATACAGACTGTGATTCAAACTGGGTCCAATTGAAGTGGAATCTGTTCAAATACAGTAAGAGTGCACGAATAATGCCGTCATGAGGACTATTATGAGTGTTTTTTTCTCTCTCTGGTTCTTGACTACAATGAATGTTCTGGAAACTGCTAAGTATCTCTGAAAGTTGTTGTTATGCCTTTCTTTCTTGTAACTGTATATATTACTGCAGTACATTGTTCTTGGTTTTACACTGATCCAGACCAGAGCTGCGAGGATGCATGGTCGAAAACAGAAATTCTCTGGAGGATAAAAAAAAAAAAAAAAAAAGAATTGAATAGCACTCTGAACCAGAGCAGAGAAAATGTTCCAAACCAAGCAGACTCGGTATACATCGACCAGAGGATAGGAAGCACTTGCGGCTACACCACCTCTGCTGCTGTGACCTATGCTGTCGCAAACTACTGTTCGTACATTTTTAGACATATTTATTTATTTGTTTGTATAGATTGATGTATTTCTGCTGCTGGACACCTGAATTTCTCCTACAGGGACCAATAAAGTATCTATCTATCTTGTATTTCCATACTTTAGGGGAATGCTAATTTGCTTGACAATGATCAATTATGGGTCAGATATTGCTCTTGTGGTTTAAATTGATGCCATAGCATTATATCATAGATTATAGCTATATGTATACAGATATCAAATGATAAAAAGCTCAGCAGAGACATTTTGATCACTCACAAACTCTACTGGAATCGAGTGGCCTGTAAGGGATTAGGCTATGCTCTGATGTTGATTGTACTAACTAAACCCAAATTGAAATACCAAATTGGCCCTAATGCGGACTTCCTGTTTGGTCCAGCAGGGACCCTGGAGGGGGGCCAGCGCCAGAGCACTCTGCCTTTTTGAGGACGAGGGGGAACTGTATCCATTAGGCTAATGTGGGTTTGATCCATGCTGATGTATGTGGAGAGGCAGGAACTGAGGCTGCATGGGTCAGGTGTCTGTGCGCTGGTGATAAGGGACTTCCAGAGTCTTGTTCATCTGGAGAGCAACAGGATGGTGTGTATGCATGACAACAACCCCAGCACAAAGAAGTCACAGGAATTTGCATGCCCTCTCCTTGAAGCAACCAGTGCTTTCTACTGAGCTGCTGGCTTCAGACACTGCTCTAAAGGGAAAACCAACACATGGGAGATGCAGGGGAAAAAGAATAGTATGGAGTTACCTTCTACGTCATTACAGTCATACTCTGGAGTGAGGCATGAATGGAGACAAGAGCAAACACAGATGCATAACGCAGAGTTCTGCAGCATGAATGCCAGTGCATGAGTTTATATGGCTGTGAAATGAAGCCTCAGTTAAACACACCCACACACACAACAGAAGTGACCATGAGTGAGCTGGTTAGTCCCAAAGAAGAAAACACTGGCATATTAGTATAAGAAGAGCAGATGCAACTGCACACAGCCTGTGGATTAGAAGCGGACTTACCTTTCACTCTCTCTCCTCGATTGAGCTGGATCTCACCCTCTCCCTGGGGTGTGTAGGGCTTTACTACAATAAAGGTACGTCCCGGGACAGCACTGTAGAGTTTCCTCTTGGGCCCCCGAGGGCATGACAGCATGGGAGGAGTGTGGTGGGGTGGGCTAGTGTCTCGCTGCACAGAGCCAGGGCTGTAAACAAACACATAAGTTACTGTAGTAATCCCAGGGAGTTGGTAAGTGAAGCCCGAGGTCACCGCCATGGTGAGCACAGGGCTCTGGTGGAACCCCCTGGACACTAAGGAGCGGGACCGATTCATAGAGGTGTCCCAGACAGTCAACAGTCACATCTCCATGGTACAAAAAAAAACAATACCCTGCTCTCTCCACCGCCCTGTGCTTTATCTGTGTCCTGTCCTCAGCCTTCTCCTCATCATTCAGGCAAAAACACTTGAGCACATCAGTGTCTGCTCCAGCAGCTGTCTGTCTGAGCTCTCTGAAAGCCCGTCTGAAAGCCTGTCCAGTCCATCCTGATGGAACCTCCTGGTCCAGGGAGTCCTGCTGAGGAGGAGAGAGGCTGGGGCAGCTTGTCCCGGGAGTCCAGCCGTGTGCTCTCCCCTCCACCCCTCTGCTGTGCTGCTGCTGTGCTCCGTGGCTCCCTCCCTGTAGACAGCCTGCTCACATTCACCCGCCAAACGCGCTCAATGTGCATTCTGTGTGTGCGCACAGGCACAGACTGCCCCCTCCGCCGCTAACATTGCTCCTCAGTTAGCATGGTAGCCAGTGCCGCCAGCCAGTGGCTAACACCTCCCACACTCACACATGCTGGACGCACAAGCTGGATTGTGTGCTCCTGTGATGATCCATAGCTTCAGAAGCAGACAGAGCATGTGTGTGCGTGTGGCGTCGTGGGGAGGGAGGGGGCCAGAGAGCTCCAGCTCGTTTCATTTAACAGTTGCTCCTCCCTGTTCCCCTTGCCTTAAATCCCCTCCTTCTCTTGGTCATTCTCTTGCTCCCCTTTCCCTCTCAGCCCTGTCTTTAACATTTCTTCACAATGCATCTTTGCTCACTGCTGCTGAATTTTAATACAACAGCAGTCTTCATTCATCATTGCTGTGCAAGGGGCATTCAGTCTTAAACCAAGAGTGTATCTAGTAGCACACTTTAATGACAGAAAAGACTGATTAGTTTACTTCTGAATTCAACTCACACCAACAACATGTGTCTGTGTATTTCACACTAGTGGCTTCAGCCTTTCATTCAGAGAGATCAGCTCATTCGTGCCCTCACTACCTTTACAACATGTATCTTTCTGTTTCGCTCTCTTCTCATTTCAAGCTTTGTTTGGCTCCACTCCGACTATAGCTTTTCCTCACTCTCCATATCTTACACGGCCTCTCCTTCTCTGTCCCCCATTGCCACCGAAGCAGGGGCTGGCTGACGGCTTTCCAATTACCGCAGGGACTGAGGGGCCGGGATGGGAGCCGCATGTTAATGTCTGAGCATGCAGGGAAGGGAGGGGCTGAGTGCAGAGATGATGTCAAAGTCACACAGACAGTCCCAAAATGAGATCGCTTAAAGGATATGTGCACTTCCAAAGTGACAGCCTTTTACCACACTGGAGTTCTCATTCTCTTTCAACATAAAAAACTGAAGCAATATGACGAGGCTCAGGCAACAAAATTACATTAAGTCATTGTTCCCAGGCCAACTGAAAATACAGTAATAAAATCAGGCAAAATGTGGTAAAATATGGTTTTCAAATGTTACCTTTTGAAAGGCACTTTTTACATGGAACTTACAAATAAAGTACTTTTATATTGCTGCCATCATGTTGCCATTGCTCCGACATATCCTAGTTTCCGCCACCACTGGTACATAATGAAAATATTAACAGATTAGGTGAAACCTATTTCCTATGTTGAAATTTATGTGTGATCAACATGGACCTTTTCAAAATTGCCGTGAGAAGCCCCTCGTGCACAAAAATGGTGAAAAAAACGCTTTTGCGCTTGCATTAGCTGGCATGAGCCGCTTTCGGATCGGAGGCTGTATCATTTGCACATGCGTTTGATGACACGTGCCATAGTAGTCTTTATGTTTGTGATTTTGATTGAATAGGATTAACCCATCAGCCCAATTTAATGTCCAACAATCTTTTCTCACATTCAGAAAAAATACATGGTCACTTCTTTGATTTGGGATATTTAGTCAAGGAGGCCGAAAACCATGTTTGTGCTGACATTCATTCAAGTGAAAATATTGGTGTCAACATTTTGAAAAAAATCCTTAATTGTCTCCAGTTGCAGATATTTGGCTTGAGCATCAATGCCATAAATGCCTTGAATTAATATCAAACAATAAATAGAGAAACAAAAATATTATACTGTATGTTATGTAACAGCATAGTGAGTGAGAGATGCTGACTTGATGTGACTTAATTATGAGTCCTATCAAAATCAGTTTCCTCTGCAAAATGGTTGGTCCTCCCTTATACAGAGAGGAACATGTAGTAGGCCGGTTGCTTCCCCACGTTGAGGAAACATGGAGAAGCTGATCTGTTCCAGTAGCCTCCTGGACACCTCCCTGGGGAGGGGAAGACCCAGAACATGCTGGACGGACTATGTCTCTCAGCTGGCCTGGGAACAGGACACTCTGGATTCCCAAAAATTAGTAGTAGGAAGTATGCCTGGATAGGGAAGACTGGGTGTTTCTGCTTGAGACTGCTTCCCCCACGACCTGACAATGAATTAAACGGAAGAAAATGGACAGATGGTGGTGTTCTATAGGTTAATATTGAGCAAAATAAACCAAACTAAACTAAACTTAACTACTGGTAATCAGACAGTGCTTTGTTTAGACACATAAAGTAGAACTGTGTTACAATAACAGTGCTAGCACAGCTCTTATGCAGTAGACTGGTTTTCAGTTAATTGGTATCATTGTTATTTTCTACCAGTTAAATAACGAATTTTATTGAAGTTAATGAAACATTAGTCCTTCCTCTCTCCAGCTCGTACTGACATCAGCCTATTGTTGTGCAGCCTTATCCGGCTCCTGCGTCTCCTGCCTCCAGTTAAGACAGCGTGGATAATGCAGACGGCTGCTGTGACCGAGTTAAAGAAAGAGGACAGGAATGGGGAATAGAAGGTGGCACAGGATCAAAGTCGTGTGCTTCGGCTGGAAGAGTGGAACTGTTAATCCCCAGGTCATAATATGGTCACATAATAGTTTAGGATGTAGCTGGTCCAAATCAAATTTTACGCTGTATTTACCCCTCACTAAACTTGTAACGGATGATGGCAATAACAATAAGTCTATAGTTATACTTAAAGAAGACATATTGTATGATAAAATACATGTGGATCATTATTAAAAAATATCAATACTGATCTAAAATGACTTTAGATTAGAAGAGTCTTTTTTTTAACCACAAAAGGTTTACTGAGTTTTCAGAACCTCTCTTTTAAGGGAGGCCTAGTTCTAGACAGGGGGAGTGAGGGGAGGGGAGCTGTTGCACACATATGAGCAACTGGAACACCTGGAGGAAAACCAAACACAGAAAGGCCACGTGCCGGCCGAAATTCAAATCCAGGGCCTTCTTGATGAGACATTTATGCTGCATCTCTAGCTGAGAAGGTCCTGTGTTCAAGTTACAATAAATGCTAAAAAACCCTAACCCTTAACAGCAGATGATTGTGAACAGTGGATTTTTCTCTCTCCGTTGGGTAAAAATAGTAGTAAATATTGGCTGTGTAACGGATGTGAAACATAACAAGGAGTAGCTATAGGTCATGTAAGCTGAAAAAATGTGTGAAACGGTGATGTTAGCGCCTGTAGAAATGCTGGAAATACTTCTCTATGGACCTGATTTCCGTGAGTTTACCTTGCCACCTCAAACTCTGAGCGAGCATTTGGGATCTGCCGTCTGTAGCTCATTTCGGCTGAAGGACAGAGGAATGAGAAAAGGCGATGGAGCAAAAAAATGCTCCTGACTCCTGACTTATGACTGCAGGGAGCCGTCACCGCCATGGGACACGGCGCAGGGAGCCGGGCAGAGACTGTATATTTAGTGTGTTTGAATACCGCTGGACACAATATGCTAAATGGTCAGAGTCACACTAAAGGCGCTGGCTAATTAACACGTCCAATACGCACCACGCTTTGCAAATCTCAATCTATAATATGCAAAACTCTTCATGGAGCGTGTTGATAAGATGGTAGCGTGTCAAGTTAAAGTGTAATAACAGCTCGCATTCAAATAGATCAGAGATATTACAACTTCAAATAGAGGTTGACTCTGTGGATTTTTGTTAGTCAGTGTGTGCACCGAGAATCCCCATAGCATTAAACGTTGAAATACAAACATAGAAAAAGAGAATATAGGGAGAGGAGACAATGTACAACACTATAAGTCCTCTTTCTCTGCAGATAAAGTTGCAATGTGAATTCTTCCTTTGAACAAAAATGGCCGCTCGAAGCATGTGAGAGAAAGAAAGCCATTAAACCTGGGGGAGGGGCTAGGTGCCAGTCAGAGAACTGAGGGGAGGGCAATGGTGGGCAACAGTGTTTTTTTCAGTTCACAGCTTTTCTGAACTAGTTCAAGTTCAGTTCATACATGCTCAAAGTGAACAGTTCACGTTCAAAGTTCACATTTTTAATTCTGAACTAGTCCAAAGTTCAGATCATTTTACTTTTTTTGTGAAGTATTCATATAAATACTTTTTTCACACTACAAGCTAGAAATAACTATAGGTTCTTTGAAGGTGCTCATTGCGCCCCCTGCAGGCCACCCGAATGAAACATAGCAATTTCTTCTGTTATTATTTCCAAAAAAGGCCCAAAACCAATAATTGAGTGTCCCCCTCCCGAGTAAGACTGTTACAACAACCGTACACCGCACAGGATGAGAGCCTTTTGACTCCAAAACAGATTGACATGGTTTTCAATGGGAACAAAACTGAGTTGTCCCATCTCTGCTCATTCACCCCTTAAGGCCAGGTTGATGACAGTGTGCTTTGAGCGCTACAAGGAGAATTCCACTCCTTCGTCCAAACAAAACCACGCAAAGCTCAGTTCTTTCAGTTTCCATTTTCACTGCTACTGTTAAATGCAGAATGATCTTGGTGCATTCTTTCACGTCTTCGCGGTGGCCCGAGAAGGATGTTGTTGAGGAAGGTGGTCCTACTGCTGGGGGTCACGCGTGTCTTACTGTAATGTGCCACTGCCCACTACTGGCCGGGTGCTAGAACTACATTGTTTGCCAACGGGATGCAAGACGCTGAGCACTTGAATATGGAGCCTGGTCGTTTTTGCTAATTGCTTTGCAGCGTCTCTGCAGCCTCTCTGTCTAAACGGGGCCTGAGACAGATCTGGTAATAGCGTGGATGGATTTAAAAAAAAAAAATCCAGATCTGTGACTGATGAGGGAACAATGTTGTAAAATGATTAAAAGCTCAAAAAAGTCGAGTTTGCTTAATCTGTTTCCATTAAGAGTTTTGGAAGCAATAGTAACACTATTGTTGTATTTACGATAGAAAAGTTGTCCAATATTACGTCCCAACTGTCCCTCAGCAGTCGGTGCATAGCCTGGCCAGCCTGTTGAACCGCGGCAGCACAGGACAAGGCCAGTGAAATGATGGTCTGTTGTGCAGACACTTGCTGGATGGTGCCGATGGGCGAGCTGTTGACCGGCCAAGCTAATTTCACACTCCCCTGGTACCCATAATGCCTCCAGAGTTACTACAGGCGTAAACACAAGGTCAAAGAGACACGCAGAGAGATAGAGAGAGAGTCATGGAAGTGATGACACACTTTAACTGAGCCTGCTCTTATCAAAGTGTATCATATCTGACATTTTTCATGACCCACCTCTGAACAAGCCCTTTATGTAAGGATTCATCATTAAATTATTCACTTACAGCAACGCTATGATAATACTGTGACATACAATACATTGCTTACTTCCATTCCTATCACTGGATGTTTAAAACTTGTAATTATAATATTCTGTAATTAACCCAAAATTAGTTGCAAAATGAATATTCTCTGTCCGACAAACAAAATGTATTCGTCAACTATAGGAACAGTGCATGCAAATGTCATGGTTGGAGTTGAAAAACACTCCAGGCCACCACCATTGTGGACTGTTACGGCGGGAAAGGTCTACAGAGCATGTGCCTGTGATTTAATAATATCCACACCCCTGCTCATCCTGTAAATATGGCGCCTCAGACGAATAAACCGCAGCAAGCGAGAGTGGATCAGAGATGGATGGAGCCCACTGACAGCGGAGTATTAGACTAGAGGGGGAGTGCGGTGTCGTAATGCAATTCCCCTGTCAGCCATCAGCCCTCACAAACACAGAAATCACATCAGGTGTTGTACACAGGCCGCGCCGCTGACATATGAGCGGGATGAAACAGCTTAGTAAACCGCGTGTTGCTAAACCACTTCCATCCACAGCAGTGAGATGTGATCAGAGTCCTGGTTTACGGTGCAGTTTGTCTAATAGCGTCTGTAGATTTATGTGTCTATGTGTCCACAGGCCGGCCTCAGCTGAGTGGGTGTCTGCTGGTATTACTCAAAGCGCTAATTTCCGAAAGCATCTCCGGTCGGGCTGTTTCATTGGGGCACACTGACATACTTGTCCAAGAAGAGATGTCGTGTCTTCAGTCAAAGCCTGCAGTGATAATTACAAGGAGGCTCCTGAATTTGTAAAAGCCTCCCAGAACATGCATATATTGTGGCCTGCCAAAAGAAAAAACTATATTCGCCAAATCACAAAATAGGGTCAGCATCCAATCGTATTCTGACAATCTTCACCCTCAACTCAAGCATCAGAAGTCATAGACTAATACAAATACTTTTACAACAATGATAAGAGGTATAAGAAAGTCCTGACCAACCAGAGCATCAACATCTGGAGATAAGTCCCCGGCCACTGCTCCTGACAGAGGCGCTAGCTGCGATGAAGGATGGGTCAAATGCAGAGGGCAAATTTCCCTATGGGGACAATAAAGTCTATCTTTAAGGAATATAGGAGGATTTCTCCAAATTTTAGAACCACCTTCCTCAAAGTGAACGCCAATTAAAACTTGTCTCGCATATCACCAGAATAATTGAACATTAGGAGGAACAATAGTCTACATGATCCACCCGGAAAAAGAAAATCCTCCCATATACTGTACCTTTAACATAATTTATTGTTGTATCGAATTGAAGTCGAAGAATTTTGAGCAAAAAATCTGCGTACCATGGACATGTGGCAGTTGTCAAAAAAGAGCAATGGATTTGTCTTTGTTGTAGAATAACATACTTAGCACAAACATCAGATTTAGTTGTACTCTAAAAACAACTTTTCTTGTGTTAATGATGAGGGAAAACAACTATACAAAAGCTGTGAACAAGACTAAACCTGAGAGAGAAGGGTTCCTGCCTTCAATCCCTGCACACACAGTGACACAGACATAACTTACAGACTTCCATTAGTGTGTTGATGAGCAGTAAACAGAGCAGCACACTGACCTGAGCCTCCCGCGCTGGCTGTGTCCATGGGGGTACCCGTGGCTATGGGACCTCCGGGGAACCGGCCTGTCCTCGTCGTGTGTGTGGTGCAGGGATGGTGAGCGTGAGTGGGACGATCTGGAGCTGCCTGTGCTCTGGAGACTGCTGTCAGGCATCTCACCATGACGGCTCTGTGAGGTACACAGCACATATGGCCCTCGTGTCAAACTGGGACTGACAAGGACACGTAGGGACACTACTTTGTAAATGGACTACACATCAAAAGCTGTTAGACTGGGAAGTATGCACACTTTCTACAGAGCTGCACATTTGCATTGTTGATTGCATAGTAACAGGGAACAATGCAATTAGTATCGTAAATAGTCTCAACTTACAACATGTTAGATAGATAGATACTTTATTGATCCCTGTTGGAGAAATCCAGGGGTCCAGTAGCAGCAAAAATAAGATAAAATTGATAATTGATACATAAAATTGATAATATTTAACTTATATTAGATTCAACTTTATTGTCATTTCAAAACAGAACAATACAACAAATGCAGTTTAGCACAAGTATAGAACATTTTTTCCAAACCGATACAGTAAATAAAATGAAAATAAATTAAATGAAATGTATATGCCTATATTTGAGACTAATGCAATGCTGCTATTGCTAGTATTTATTTTAATTACAGTGTATAACATTAAGGTGCATCTAACAAGCTTTAACAGCGTGAGAGTTCAAGGGTGACTGCTCTGTGATATACAAAAAAACTCTTAGCCCGCTGACAGAAGGGAGAAGGCTAAAGAGTCTGTGTGCAGGATGAGAGGAGTCCTTCACGATTCTAGACATCATAACAAATATGATATTCATTTATATAAATGCGTACAGTGCAAGCAAAAGCACAGTCTGTGTGCTTATGCTTTTCCTAGTGGCATTGCCATTATTGCCAAATAATCAGATGATTCACAATGAAGAGAATGATGATATGAATGAACTGAAATACGAATGAGCATAATGAGTGTCTAGACAAATGACTTATTACTATATTCACGATGGAAACTGAATGTTCCCATCTTTTATGAAGGAGAAAATGTGAAAATGCATAATGACATGTAACGTGTTATCTTACAGAGCAAAGAGAAAAGTATGTTAGCATACCTCTCCAAGGCTACTGTGGTGCTGGCTGAAAGCAGGCAGACTGCGCAGGGAGGGGACTGGGGAGTGACCCTGACGCCCCCGTCTGACGGGGAACGTGGATGTGTTCGTGGTGGTCTCCATTCAGATTGTTGTCACTTGCGGAGCGGAGCAGGGAGCGCGGGGAGGGCAGGGGGCCGGGTATCATCCGTCTGCGGTTAGTGTAGGAAGGGGTCTCCCTGAAAGGCACTGGAGAGGACAGACATGTGCTAGTTCTCAGAGAGACAACAATATTGTGCTGTTGTTGTGTCAGAGCACAGGGACACAACTTCAACAGGAGACAAGCCACCGTTACATGTTGTTTTGCAGTGACGTATTGGTCAGCGCTAACCTTGTCCTTAGATTCTCAGTGCTCTTGAAGAACAAAATAACGGAATATATTGCTGGCTCTTTCAAATGTCAACTTATAATGTGTATATCCTTAAAACAGAGTGAAGGTGATTTCAGTTGAAATCTTTCCTAGTTGAGAGTTGAGAAGTATATTTGATTACATAAATTATAAATCAGTATTTCATTGATTGTTGTAGTTTCCCGAAGTACTTGGCAATTACCTTGTACCTCTGTGAGCATTTGGAAATAACTCAACCCTTACATGATAATAAGATGATTTAGTTTCGATAAATAACATTTAATTACTAAATTAACTCTTTTATCAACATCAAATGTATAAGATGCTTGTATATGAATTAATTAACATAGAAATATGTGAAAATGTTCACCTTCTGAAATGACTGCAAAACTATTTAAATTCCAAATATAGGGATGTTTGAAATTAGCGTATTATTACACATTTTGACCAATTGCGACCGTTTCCTCACCAGAAAGTAGAAAGCCATATCATCAGTGGTTATATAAGCCAGGGCTCTTTATTCTTCCCCGCTGAATGAAACTCCACAACCATAACACTGGATTACGCTAGATTTTTCTGCCTGGTAGAAAAAGAACGAGCTGAAGCTAATTTGACAATAGAAGCATTCTAGTGTAGATGAATGAGTCAGTTCACAGACTTGGCACTAGATGGCACAGTTTGCCATATGTTCATGTCCAATAGAAAGCCCAGATCTCAGCGGGGATCCACCAAAGCTCTCTCTCATCCATTCTGCACACTACATTTTCATCTTTTCCCTTCATATTCTCTCCTCGCACTCGCTTGGTTCTCTCGAGGCGTAGTGCGAGCTTTAATCTTTCAATAATTTAGAGAACACTGTCAACTCACCAACATCTGACGTTTTGTGAACCTTTATAATTTCAGCCAGATCAAAGTTTCCAGCGATAATGGCCACCTACAGGTTTGGAAAAGACAGAGACACATTTCGTTACAATATATACAGTATGTGGAAATATACAAATTTGATTTGTATATTTTTTTGGAAATAGGTACATGGTTAGGTAGGTACATTATATTACATTATATAGTTGAAACCATACTAAAGACTTGAAACCATACTAAAGACAAGATTTAATTATCAAATACCAAAAGAACATTCCATGGAAAAAAACCATGGGTCGTTTGAGTCTCTGTTTGTGAAAAATTAAGCCTCACAGTAAAGACATCTGGTCTTATACATTTTAAAAGGACAATCAATAATTTAAAAGTAGGGCTTGAAAACTGACAATTACCACAAGATATCCAAGCTAATGTTTATTTCATATTGAAAGCTTTCTCTGCAGCAGTGGTCTCTCATTCCTGGTTGACAAAAGCACAGTTTTTTTAAGCCTCTCTTAGGTGGGAAAAATAGCAATAAACGTTGTGCTTTTATGCCATTGGCAATCTTCATTTGGGTGAAATATGGATCATATTCTTAATCTTCACTTTAATGGAGCTTAAGGCTCATTACATTTGTATAATCTATACCTTTATTCAATTACAGTCATGGGGGAACGTTCCAAATACTTAAATTACTATGGATGATTTGCATACAATATACTAGGGATGCACAATAATGCCAATTTCAACTGATATCGATTACCGTTAATTTTGTGTTACCCAATTAACTAGTAGTATGTTATGTTATGTATTCATTATTTTGTTCATATAGAATCCACAAATCCTTTGTGCAATTAATGTTATTGCATCTTGGTTTGGATCTGGATGTATACTGTAAATAAAAACCCACTTCATAAATGAAAAGGCACAATAAAGGCTTCAAGGCAAGGCACGTTTATTTGCACAATTCTCCTTTCTGCTGCAACTAAATGACTAAAAGATAAAAAATCAGAATTCAGGACACTTCATATAACGTCTGTACCTTTAAAACTCAACTGTGCCCAGAGGATATTCAAATACAGTCTTTTCAGCTGGCCGCTCCATTGATGCTAACAGAGAGAGCAGCGATGTCATTCATACCTGAAAGGCAGTCTGACTGTTGTAGTTCTTTATCTCCTTATTGGCTCCGCGGAACAGAAGCACCCGCGCGCAGCTGTCCTGAAAGCAAAAAGAAGACATGGCGCATTGTCAAATCTTGAAAGCCATACGTTTCTTAAGAAAAATGAAGCATAATATTATCAAATCACCTTCCAAATGACTGTTTATTCTCTTGGACACCTTTGCATTTACAGTATTGCGGTTACAAAGCACTAGTGAAAGCCCCTTATGTTTCCGTTTGTATGTATTTGGACAGATACATGCTGTTCACTGATTTGGATTTGGATCAATACATAGTCCCTCACTGCATGTGTTTTGTTTTGAAACGATCAGAAACAACAATGCATTTTTCACTGTATAAATGCAATGATTTATGCTGCAGCAACTGAGCAGGTGTGAAAAGCAAACGCCCAAAGTAAACATAATTTGTGGTTACATTTACAAACTGCTAGCTTATAATGTATGATAGACATTCTATTTACAATTAGTTATAAAGAAGGAGTAATAAGGGAAAGATACGAGGTGGCTTAATAATCCAACCAAATAGAATGAACTCCTATTCTTTGCAAGCACATTCATTGGTAGACACTGGGATGTAAGCATAATATAGTAAATAACATTGGAAGGCGAAATGCTTTGATTTCAGGAGCTTATTGAACAATAGCATTCATTCTACTATCAACAACTGTTATCAGACTCATTTCACAGTCCATTATCCTTTACTAATGACATGGTATTCCACAAAGGCAGCCGAGTTTGGAGGCAGACACAACTGGACTGCAGATGAGCCATATCTAAACACGTCCACCTGAACCCTCCGTGTGCACTGGAACAGCACAGACAGATGCACTCATTAGTTCAAACTTAGACTTTAGTGAGTCTGACTTGAAAATGAGCACACTGCCCTCGAGCTAAACCCAGCTGTAGAAGGAGGGGCAGCGAGGGCCAAGACCATTGTGCAGAATCTACTTTGAAAGCTATTAAACATGTGATAATTGTTTTTTCCTTCTCATCTACCCATCCAAATGTAGAGTGATCCAGACATGCATTCTCCTGTAATCTAATCCAAAATTTAATTAAGCAGGAAAAATCCCATTGAGGTTCAAAAAGGAAAGAAAAGTGTTCAAGCCGCCATTGCTCTGGTGACCCTCATTTCCACAGCCAGTTTAGACTTTGTCTCCTAATTTATTTAATGCGTGACAAACAGACTATTCAATAGTCACTCAAGCATTCTGGCGTAAAATCACACTGCTGCCTACCATTATCTGATACTTTAAGTGGCATTTTGTTGTAATAAAAATATAGATAGCCATAGTCCTAATTCTAATTAAATTTAAAGAGTTTAAAGACACGATCAGCAACAGAGTAAATTGTGGCCATAATTTTTTTAATTTCAATATAAGACAAGGCAAAGATACATATTAAATGTTACAAGAATTCCCAAAAAGAAAAAAGAAAAAAACTGGGTTAATTTTTTGGTCAGTGTGAAAACACCATATACTGTAAATATTAATCACCAGTTGTATAATCAAGGGACTAAAAAGGCATTCTGGGTATTGTAGTTCTAGGACACAGATTTGACCTACAGACCTCAAGAAGACATAAGAAATAATAGTAGTACAATATCTTTTTGGCCATTACTTTTTCAATTAACTGTATCGTAGTAAATACTAACTAATAAAACAAAGTAATAATAATGTTTTTTGACATACCATTTTCTCTAATCTATTTTGGTTTAAAAATATCATTGGCATAAACCAAAATACCTAAGACACCTGATTAAACACATTCTAGAAAATCATCCCCATGAAAAACGCCACTGCGGTCTTGCATTCACATTGATTTTCACAACAGCTTATGTGCATCTTATCTTGAAGCGTACGGAGCTCCCGTTTAGCCTACTGCTACACTTAGCTTGTGTACACACATAGGCGCAACACTGCCCAACTTACAGTTTATGTACCATCTGTCTTGCTCTTTTCTCCAAGCCTTCCTATAGGAATTCATTAAGTGTGCATTTGTGGCTGCAATACGAGTTCGCACACTTCACAGTAATGATGGTGGTCACCGAACAGGAAACGGGACGAGCAGATGCCTTTCTCTTGCTGTCCACGTTTCAGGACTCTTCTCTGCTGAGGTTTGAAGCAGAGCCGTTTAACTCAGTTTGGCAGTCTCGCGTGATAATCATAGCAATAACATAAGAATACATGAAAGTAATGAAGCTCGGCACAAGATCTCCAGGGAATTGTGCGGAAATGTCACAACTTCTGCCAATCCTATTTTCTACTCATTCCTGTGGATTTTTATGGTCTGTTGTGTTGCAACAAATGCCCACACATATCAAATGTGCACGTGTTCACGTTAGCAAATACTGTTTTTATTGGGCTGTTTCCAGAAACATGCAAACTGCCTGAAGAGCCACTGACACTGACCACTGTCGCAAACTTCACATTAGCAAAGCTTCATAGCACCTGGATTAGTAACATTATCATCAACTGGTGCTTAGAGGTAATAGAACCCTGACAGAAAAAACTAAACTATACTTTGGTTGCAGTCAATGCTCAAAGTCTGGAAATTGTTTACATGTGGATTTAAAGAGCAGGAGACTTCCAGAACTCTAACAAAGATTGATCAGAAATCAAAATGAAGCATGCCAAGGCTCAGAGCGAGAAGAGTTTGTGCTATGTAATTAATAAGATTACTGAAGTAAGTCCTGGATGAACCAAATGAGGTTCACGTGTTAAGGTACACTTCAATGTTTGACCTCTGCATTTGAACCTCGTCCTTCCAACAAACCACGTAGGGCCTCTGTCAGGAGCGTGGTCACTGCAAGTGCAAGCCCGGGGACCCACCTCCCCAGATGTTGATGCTCTGCTTGGTCAGGACCAGAGCTGGAGATTTGTTCCAGTAATAGTACAATTTAAGGGCTAAGACCACTCAGAGAGACACAGGGATAACATGCAACTCCACTCAAAATAGGCCCTGTTTCGAACCCAGGATTTGAACCAAGGACACTTTTTGCTGAGAACGAGAATCTACGGTGTGGTTATTGTTCTATGATCTTAAACATATTTAAGTGACAACAATGACATCTGTGGGTTGAATAATTGCAACACCAAATAACTTGATCTGCCACAAGAGGACTTTAAAAAATTATCCAATATGCTGATTTCAATGTGATCAATGAACACAACGACAAAAAATATTTGGGGGGCAACATAACAAGCCTAATTATTCTTCACAGTTTTAAGATGGCTTAATTATTCTATATCATACAGAACCTCAATTAAATCACCAGTCATAGGCTGTTAAGAATGCAGTACTTCTAGAGAGTTCTACTGTGTGTGTTTCGTTCTATCCTTGGGACTTATTGACGTTTTCTCACTTCACATTACTTTGAGTTAATTCAGCCAGCTTGCTCCTTGCTCTGATTGAGTGTAATCAGGGAGAGTCCATGTCGTTTTCCTGCTTCGGGAGTCAGCTGTGTCTGCTCAAACAATCAAAACTCGCATGGGGCCTTCTACAGCGAGCACTGCCCATCGCCCACAGGGCAGTAACATCGAACTAACATCCTTCCATAACATGCCACTTATATTAAAATACATTCAGCTCCATTATGCTTTATGATGTATGTAAAATGAGGAACATGTTGAAGGCTTGCTCACATGTTGTGGAAGCGAGTGAAGGGACGCTGAAGTATTTTCAAAGGCTTTTCAAAGAACACCTCTGACAACTGTTTGAACAACTTCGTACTAAAGTGGATATTTCTAATTTCACACGTAGCACCCAACAATATTAGAGAATATCTTTTTCCGGCTATTTTTTGGGACTTCAGGTTATTCACTATGAGAAGAATGACTGGGCTCAGCAGAAATTTTCAGATTGAACTGACAGAAGCACCGGGCAGTTTCTTTACATAAAAGCAGCAGGAATAGTAAACTGAGACAGCCAATTCCACAAGCTCTCACATGAAATAATATCATGCATACCATTGGATGGGCTTTTGCTTTTTGGGATTCAATAAATATGCAATTTACAACTTAATACTCATTACAAATCGACAACAGAAAGTCGTTTACATAGCACAGTGGCCTGGTGCAAATAAAGCCTTTTTGAATGTTATCAGTTTAGACATGTTATTGGTTCTCGATCAAATCATGTAGAAAGACAATTAATAATCTGACAGCTAACTATATCTCAATAATTGTAGGTAGTAGTTTCCTGGTTCATTCATTCAGTTAATACTCTGATCTAAATTCTAGGTCCTGCTTGTACCTGGTTTTAGAGCGGCACAAACGTGGAGGGCCGTTTTTCCAGAGCGTCCTGACCTCATGTCCCCCCATAAAAGCAGATCTCCCAGGGCTGCACGGGCCATAACCAAGCCTGAGAAACAAAGCAAGCCAACAATCCCATAGACACAAACTCTTTTCAATTCCTTTCACCGTCATTTGTATATATAAATTCTGAGGAGACCAAATCATGACGCTCTTTTTTTAAATTATATTTTGTATTAATCACTTGGTTTCTATTCATTCACCCAAGTAGTGCAGGTGAGATCGCTTCATCTGTACTGTGGCAAACCATAGCATATAGGGCCGCATAGAATCCACCATTTATCACCAATTTACACATAAGCCATTTTCTATCGATCAATCTCAGTTGTCACATGAGATCACTTGACGTTGGTCAGCTTCATTGGGCCAAAAATAAATTTCCGTTTGTAAGAGATGACACAGAAGTGCGTTTTCCCTCAGTGCGTCAAAAATTATGAAATTGTGTATATAATAGTGTAGGGGATGAAATAACCTCCTTTTATGCTGCCCGTCTTCAATAAGACCTCTACCTCCCCGCATCTCGGGAGCGGGGCCAAAAGGAGTGACTACAAAACATCTCAGCTACAATTTTTGAAAAGCTACTCTCCAAAGAAGTTGTGCGTAAGGAAACATCTTATCTAACGCACAGCATCCGTATACCCGTTCCCTTCAGTGAAAAGGATGGGCCAGATTGACTGACCGTTCCAACCTCAACAGTCAACCTCAGCCTCCAGGTTTTTGAGAGGACTCTCACGTCAACAATGAAGAAGTTGCTGAACTTGCCTCCCAGACTGTGGATCATGGAGTACTTGGGTCAGCCACAATGGTGCTGCCGCATTGCTCCAGCCCCCATGAACAAGGCTGCTCCATTCATCGCCATCAAGACCCAAAGGACTGCCATACCGACAAACAATCTCATTCGGGTTTGTGACCTCTCTTCTTGCTCACAGCCATTGGCTTATCAAAAACCTACAATTCCACACTAGTTACAGCTTATGTTTTACAGAGCGGCAAACACATGGTAGCCTCCATTCCTACCAATATCAATTTATGGACAAAAAGAGCCACTTGCTTTACCTCATCTCACCTCAGCCATACAGTGTAACCAAACTTGCAATCAACGTTTCCTTCATGTTATTGTTGACAATTTGCATATTTCATATCTAATTTGTATTTGTATCTGCATAAATCTACAAAAACCATCTTTGTCCTGAAAGTGATATTTGTGCAGCTTAAACACAGGAATTTAGTTCACTGATTTGTATAAGATTCACAACCCCCGGCAGAGCCTCATTGAAGAAATTGGATCCTAGCTAATTAAATAACAAAGGACTCATGAGATTACAGAAATCCATAAATGCCTATTATAGATTACGTGACTCATAGGCACTTTCTCAGTTGTGATTTATCTCTGGTGCCCAAAAGCTATTATCTATGATGTAATTTACTACATATTGTTTTTATCCAATCGCCACATCAATAAAATAATAACATAAGTTATCTGTGTGATAATTGACTCAATTACCCCTAAATAGTGTGGGTAAAATCTATAGTGTCTCATCTCAATGAACGTTACTCCAACGTTTATTGATGTTAATCCTTCAATCTGCGCAGGCCTAGCTACGCTAGTTTGATCCGTATCAGCTGCTGTCGTATATTTGCAAGGGAAAACTTATGGATGAAACAGTAAAGTAGCCAAGTTGCTCTTTCAAACTAATGCAAAAGACAAACACAAAACAAAAAAAGGAGTGTAAAAAGGAACCCTTCCAATGTATGTATGTACAAGTAATGTAAATTTCTATCATGTATAAATTATGTAATTTGCTGTTAAATCTCATTAAATATCTGTTGACAACCACCACAATCCGTCTCACAGTGACAATGATGATTCCTCTTATAGAGCAGAGATGGCTTGTTCACACTAAAGGCACAAAGTGTGACCAAAAGGCCATAATTTTGATTTGAAATAATCAATATAAGAAAGTTTATTTTTTATGTTTCCAAGCACTCCTCTGTCCATTAAAAGAATACTAGTACCTAACCTGTTTTAATTAATACATGTAGACAATTATCCACTATTAGTGGCCCTGTTTTTATTTATCTACGGACGTGATGATTGACAAGGAGCTTTGCGAAGTTTAATAGTTATTTTCAGTGTCCACAATTGTTTTCAGAGATTCTATTTTTTTTATACAGCTGAGTAGAAACAAAGTGAGTACTTTTCATTTTAGTCAACATTAAAATGTGAATCCAGACTAGATTTTTTCTTTTCTCAATTCAATTTTAGAGAGATAGAGGACGGAAACCATCACCCGTGATAACATTTTTCCAAGGTCTTTTAAATTAATTAAATATTTTTAATTTTTTAAGACGATTTTCCTGTTCATAGCAAGGGATTTACTGAAGGTGTGTTTAACCATATTAACTTGGGGAATTTCTTCTGCCCCTTTTTTCAGACTGAGGACATTTTAATTATTCTATGTAACAGCGTCACATAGAAATCAAAAAAGAGCGATTTGTCGTTTAAAATGTCACCAAAAATATATTTGACAATCGTTCCTTTTGATATTTATCCACGACTATCTCTCTGATGTGTCTGTGTTTGAAATCTTTTATCCAATCTTTTAGAGTATTTTTAGTTTTTTAAGTTATAACCTTTTAAGAGAAGTCGAAATACTTTCAATTGGACACTTACTGTGAACAACCCACATAATACAAATGGTGGTATCAGTGGAGTAACACTAATCTACCACCATTGAACTCATATTCGAAAACAGTGAACTGGTCTACGACTCTCAGTCGCAATAGTTTCCTCATTTGCCTGTCGGAATCGACAACTCTCCGTGGTGCATATCTAGAGAGTTTCTGTTAAACCTCTGTCCCTACGACCTGAATGTTAGAAAAACACGACCGTGTCGTTAAGAAACTGTTCAGCGTCTCTACTATACTGCAGTAAACTTAGAGAATTTACCACTAACTCTAAATTCTGGCTTAACTTTTATCGCTGCACCTTTGTGAGTTTACGGTTTGTTCTGGTTCTGTGTGTTTGGTAAACATCACGATAAATTAAAGAGAGCTTTAAACAAGGTGCTTCCGCTCTGCAAAGAGGTCCGTGCTGTGAGACTTCCTTTCTGGAGTTCTTATAAATCCAGACTTTTATTAAAAAAGGCGTTAGGAGTGGTTAATGACTCTTCTGGCCACTCCTAGAAAGCCATTTCCAGCTTCTTCCCTCTGCAGAAGAATATACGCTCTCTGAGATGCAGGACATCGCGTACGCTACACAGTTTTTATCAACAAGCTGTTATCAGTGTGAACAGAGCACTTTTAAAAGGAATAGGTCTCACGTTTTACTTACTGACATATGTTCTACCTACCTTAGACTAGTTTCTAATAACGTACCTGTCTGTCTATCCCGTCGCTCTGTCATGCAAACGACAAAAACTGGTAGCACAACCGCAGCCTCTTCTGTCAATTTTGTGCACCAAAAGGTAGCTCCCGCTAAAGCTACCAAACCTCTTCCCAATGTGCCCTATTAAATGTATATAGTTACGTGACAGTGTTTCACTGCAAAAGTAAATGTAAACACGGAAATGTTACAGTCGATTTCTCAGCGATAAAACGGTATATTAGTGTGAGCGTATAATCTGAGTGCGCTAATCGTCCCGCCACTTAACTTCTCTCCGAAGATTTCTCTCTCGCCACATCCGTCAATAGAAGCAGCGTGACTTTTAAATACTACACAGTAGCAGCGAGCGAGAAGTCCTCTGGAAGAAAGTTAGTTTTCAGAGAAGTTAGGAGCGCTACGTCCGCTCTCGCACTAACGTTCTCCCTCAGAGACTCTCTCTCTCGCTGCGAGACTGTGTGTACTACAAGTCACCTGCTTCTATTGACGAAATTGAGCGAGAGAGATTCTCCGGATGAGAATTTGCACTTGTTTTGAACTGTTTTAGTCGATCGATTTCACAGTGACATTTGTTTACTGTTTTATTTGTTTTATTTTTGTCTTTTAATGTTGTTTTATGTCTGTATTTGTCTGTGCACACTGGAGACTTTTGCTAATGTATTCCAATGTGGTTTTTTTTACTGCAAATGGCAAAATAAACTGAATCTGAATCTGAATCTAATTCTATAATAGATTCCTGTCTATAAGCTTGAAATAAATCCAAAAAGGATATAATAAAATATATATATACTCAGTTTCAAAAAGGGTTGGACAAAACAGATACCTATTTGGTTCTCTGACCAAACACCAAACTCTGACACTCTCTGACCCTATAGTTCAGCTCCATCTCTTGCTCTGTTCTGAGAGCATCATTCACTTTCCTGTCTCAGTTTGATGCACTAAAATGTTTTGTAGCAGCCGACTCTGTGTGGCTGGAGCCACAAATTTATTTCAGATGTCACAATAAACTTCAGGGCAAATGCAAAGCGGTGTGAAGACATGTTTGGGATTGTATGTCTGGTGGAAGCGTGAGGATGGTGGTTATGAAGTGGATGTCAGATACGTTTCAAACTGTGAGGGGAAATCATAGAAACTCTGTTGCATTGAGGACCCTTTCATTGGTTTAACTATTCTCTGCCAGCCAATCCATACTGGCTGTAGTTATGCCCAGGGGAGGGACTATTTTGAATATGCAATTGATGGAATAATACTCACTGTACATAATAGTACCTGCCTTATGGTCAGAATTATAAATCCAATAAAGAAAATAAAAAAATTGAAGTTACAGCATCACCTTTAAGTTTATTTTCTAATTGCTGCTTTTCGTGTGAAAAACAGATATAATAACCCTAAACTATAAATTATAATAAAAAATACACGCATATGCACGGAGTAGGGTGTTGATTAATTACACACAAAAACGCTGCCTTTTTTTTCTCTGCGTATTTTAACACACTTAGTATCGTGGAGAGTTTGGATGGACTGATTATGCTTCAAACAACAGATAAACCGACCGCAGTGGTTAGCCCTGTGGATGGGGAATGTTCTTATAAATCAAAGAAATGAAAGCATCTAAGAGCATGGTTGTGTTCGCAAATCACCGCAAGAGATTGAGTATCACCTCAATGCTAAACACAGAGAAGCTGGCGTGCACGTTAGCCCACACCCAGGTACACTGCACGAGGTGGCTGTTTTAATGACCAAGCTAACTAAGTCCACATCTGACCCAACGGCCTGGCTGGATTGCAATCGACTGAAGACAACTTTGAGTGGTAGAAGATAAGGGCCAGTAAAATGTATTAAATGCTGTTGCTCAAGCGTCTCTGTATTCAGTCATTACTCACAAAATACTTCTCACTGTTCTCAGGTCAAATATTTATGCATCTTATTATTGATTTAAATGTGATTCATTTTGATGAATTAATTACTAAGCCTCTAATTAATTAGATTAAAAACAATGTTATCGCATCCCGGCCCAAGTACAGATTTAATATGTGTGTAACCCTCTAATGATTCGCGTTTCATTGTGCATAATTAGGTGAACTGGGATGTGTGAGTTTTCTTTTGAGGTTGTGAAGCAGGATTCTACATCATCATCTGGGTTTTGAGCATTGAGAGGCACACATTTGTAAAAATATGACATAAGATCAAATACACACTAAACTGGCATGGTAAACAAGTTTGGACTCGAAGATTTTCTCCATAGGCGGTAAACTTTTGGATTAGGTTTTGATTAGAACTTTTATTAGATAAACATCAATCTTGTGATTCAAAATACACTACAAGAGTGTGTAATTAATTTTGTTCATTAACAGGACTGACATGTGTGTATTGGTTTATTTCCTAGACAAAGTATGTAATCCCAACTGTTTGGCACGGGCCTACATCAACCTTCCTTTGATTAGCATTTCTTTCGGCCAGAATGATGGCTCACTCAGCCCCTGGCTTTGCAGATCTGGAAGCAATAGACTTTTCATCTAATCTTTGTCTAGCTGCTTTTCTCTGCCTCCCACTCTGCTGTTGTCCTGTGCCACTGTGCCTGGGCCAAAGCATTGTTCAGTCCCTCCTGTGTCTTATGTGGGGCTAAGCGCAAGTGACAGCAGTGAGATTGGCCACAAATGATGGTGGCATTGTAGTTGCTTATCGGACGCTCTACACAGTGACAGTTCTGCTCTGATTGAAAATACTCATAGTCAACATCAAACTGTGTCTCAAAACAGCTGCAGGTTCAGGTGCTATTAGTTTCAGTTTTCAGTTTTAAGTTTGTTTATTTACTATTAGGGCAGAAGTTAAACTTGTGCGCCCATTGCATGTTCATGATACAAAAGTTACCAAAATATATTTCAAGTGCATTGCTATATGGGGCAATGGAGAGGCATGTTCACACTGAGGAACAGGGAGGGAACTATGTGTGGGATTTCGTTGTTTTTCTGTTTAGAAGAAAAACCCCTGTTAATTTATTAATGGGTTAGCCCAGGGGCGGGGCTAACTAGTTAAAAGAGTGCGTGCTCACTCCGGAGTGTGGTCTGTCAGTCTGTGAGTGAGCTGGAGTGAGCTGGAGTGAAATCGAACCCAAACTGAGCTGGCTGTAAGTCCTGTTTTTGTGAGTCTGTTGTTTTTTTTTTTTGCTGCACTGTAAATATTTTCCACTCTGCACTGGTTTGGTGTGAAAATAAAGTCACCACAATTCATTTTTCCGACTGAGCCATCATTATTCCCATCATTTTTAAACGAACCTTCACAAATGAATAAACACAACAACAAAATTATTCAGTTCGGTATCCGTCCAGGATTGACTGACATTTTTTTTTTAAATACATAAAAATAATTACATACTTTCATTTCTCTGCTGAGATTGTTCCACAGCTGAGGCCCATGAAACGACAGACATCTCTGAGTCAGTGATTTTCTAACTTTCGGCAATGACTCGCTGCAGCTGTCATTGTGTATATTTTGTAATCAAACAGACGTTTTATTTGCTTGTCTACTTGAGAGTTAGAGAAGTATGCAATTACAGTAACTTGTTTATTGTGCTTTACATGCTGAGTCAAAATACTGTACAGCCCCTTCTGTAGCTTAATGTCAGTTATTGTGTTTAGTCTGCTATAGAGTTCTAATCATGAGAGATCATTACAATCTTAAAAGCAGACATTACACACATTTACCCCTAAAATACTTCATTGGTCCTATATATCACTTGTCAATGCTGTACCAACACTTACAGCACATTGGTACATGGCACATTTTCTACATTTGCCTTCTTGCTGACCCTTTTGCACAAAATTCTTGTTTCCCAAAAATGCCTGCCATGAAGCAACACAAAGGATTAAGCTGTTATTATGTTTACAGAACAAGGGGGCGCCTCAGGCCTTAAACAAATGAACAATATGCTGTGTTTGCTTTTTCCAGTGCCAGCCAATTTCTCCGCAGCCTTTACCCGGACCCACTAGTCAGGTTTAGATTCACCTACAGCAGGTGGAGCTGAGTTTTGAAATCTGAGGAACAAGAAAACATGTGTAATGATGACCCCTGAGTGATACGAAATAAAGCTGTAACTTAATCCAAATTCTATGGCTTTGAATAATGAGGCTTAAATGGGCTGATAGATATAGTATACACATATCAAACTGTTTTTAAATATACCTGCAGATAACAGTTGATATTTCTGTGTAACATCTATCAACAATTCTCATCGAGTATCTAATGGTATTGTAACTTTAACATGATTTAATACCTGCTCTATTCCCTGATAGTATGGTATATTACTGTGTGCTAGGGCTTTGAGGCATGGACAAACATCAACATATTCTTAACATTCTCTCAGTTTAGAATGTACCTACTTTTGGATTCATGTTATTTTTGTATTGTTTTATCAGTTAATTTCCAGTCTGTCTCTTATGAATGTATTTAATAATAATAAATAAATACAAAATAATAATATTGCATCAATTTTATATAGCAATTTTTTGGACACTCAAAGACGCTTCTTATGTCCTTATTCATTCACTCCATACACGGTGGTGATAAACGACTAATGTAGCCACAGCTGCCGTGGGGCACACTGACAGAAATGAGGCAACCGTATGTGCCACCGTCCCTCCGACCACCATCAACCATTCACCAAACTCATTCTAGGCCCATTCACAAAATGACAACAAATGTACGCATGCACGCACACAGAGACAGAGAGGTCCAGGACAACAAAGAATGCCAAATAAAGAGACATCTACAGTAATAATAGATGCAATGCTCTTTGACAATCCGACACTGAATCCAACAATAAATCCAACAAAATTCAAACTTCAACCCCAATTCTAACTGTCTTCAGGATACTTGTGTATTTCCCTGGAGTCTTTGGATGCAGTGACCGGTGTAGCAGTGTGTGTAGTGCCCATACCTGGTGGATTTCTTGCCATCCGTTCTCGTCCACACAGCCCACCAGGGCGTGGTCGTGCAGCAGCAGCTCACAGCAGTAGGGGTCTCCTCCCACCATGGAGCTGTGGTACAGTGGGGTCAGGCCTCTACTGTCCTTATAGTCAGGTGATGCCCCCAGGTCAAGCAGGGTCTAGAGACAGGGACAGGGAAGTGAAGAGTAGCAAACACTTTGAATTGTTGGAAAATCTCTCAATCAATTTAAATAATATCAGCTTTCCTTTATGATTTGTGTGTGAACATGAAACATCTTAATGATTTGCAAATTATTGAGAATATAACAATAATTTCATATTCTGGACTTATCGTCCAGTGTTTTATTCTATTATATTGATTCGTCTACGCTAAAGTTTAGTTTAGGCAGTTTTTTGTGAGTGTTGTTTGCGTATGCACAAACAGGAAAAACATCAACACACCACAAACCGGCCCTGATTTGTACCACTCGCCAGGAGGGAAGTTCTGACAGGAGTTTGCATGTTCTCCCCGTTTATGTATGTTTCCTCTGGGTCCTCCAGTTTCTTCAACTCTTAAAAACATGCAATGGCCCTTGTATCGCCCACAACCAATCCACAAAAAAGGTAAATAAAATAGATACATTGAATAAAGTATTTATCCAAAACTTGAAAAGACAAGACAAGGACAAAGACGATATTAAAATTATACTAGACTCAATCCAGGACAAAACTGTGTGTATGTGTGTGTGAGTGTGCACGTTTGGGTGCGTTTCAAACTAATATATAATTCACTTATATCTAAGCAGGTCAGAGTTGTATTAAGAGCCCAGACATGACACAAGTGAATCCTGACTCCATCTGCCCACGGACATCCCGAGACACTGCTCATAGCTCAAAGGCTCTCCGCAGAGACTGGCTCTTGGCTTTGCAGGAGGAAAGTTTGCCAACACAAATTGGCGTATAGTAAAATAAAGGAGTGCGGCGTCAGCATGTGTGTGTAGTGTGTAGTTTACTCACAATGAGGGCGGTGTGGTTCTTGCTGCGCACCGACTTGTGGAGAGCCGTGATGCCATCTTTGGTCCTGAAGTCCAGATGAGCACCTCCACTCTTCAGCACCTTTATGAGCTCTGCACAGCCCTCCAACTGTGCAGCCAGCGTGAGAGGGCATTCTGCGGGCAAATATGTGGAGTACTGCTGCATTACACTGTACTCTTTTAGAAGGCAACAAGGGTTGGAAGATTTCTACATTCAGACACTACGGCAAATTATACACACATAATACGGATGTGGTTCTTTGTAATAAGGTGGTTTACATCATTAAACATCTTGTAGATTATTATAAGTCGTATATATACAGTCGTATACTAACAGCATTGTGAACTGTTATGAAACACTAGAAGACAGTTGTATGTGTACTTTTATGAGTAAATGTTAACACAGATAATTTAAGCCTATACATATTGCTTTCCTCCCGAATGTGAATAACATTTCTGGCCTCTGCACATCTTTAGATCAGCTTTTTCCAGTCAGAAATGTGAAAAAAGCGAACCACCCTCTTTGTTGAATAGTGACTCACAGAGTATACACACGTTTGTGTTTTCCAATACACTTAAGAGAGCATGTTGTGGTCTGATTTGTTCCCCAGCGTTTATACCAGCAACAGGTTTTCACTAAACCTGTCGAAAATTGTTCAAGACATTTTGAATTCAAGTCATTTTAAATATTTTAAATCTATACAATATACAATAATAATTGTTTAGTTTGCGGTGTAAAGAGGTTTTTTTGTAGCTAAAGTAGAATCCAGATTGCTAGCTTGAACTGGATATGAGAGAAGTGTATAGTCACATTATAAATATGGGCCAGTGCATGCAAGTAAGGGCAGATAGATGTTATAGATTATAATGTGCTATTAACAGGGAGTTTCCACACATGATGGAAACAAATCTATCACCATTTTAGTGCATTCCAAAACTATTTACTCTCTTGTATCAGTAATATGCTATATTTTTCACAACATTTCAGTCAACTGACCTTCGCCAAGTATTTTCTTTATTTATCACTGTTTAATCTACCTGCTGCTCTCCAACGCATCTCTTTATTCCCTCTTGTATCAATAATATGAAACATGCGCTTTATTATTTTAATCTCATGTACTGTTATCAAAAATGTGTTAAGAGTAAAATATTCATGGTGTAATATCTTTATGCTTAGTGATAACCCCAGTTCACTCAAATTGAAAAATTAGCATCGTAACTGAAACAAACTAAACCTACAAGATATGGAGTGTAATTGAACTTGTAAAAGAAAAGTCACTTGGATCATATTACATCATATCAAATTGAAAAACAATAGTGAGATGCACTATTGTTGCCTCCCAGAGCAGTGCGCGTGCATGGGACACACTCATCAACTCCGTCTCCATGCCTGTATCCGGTTGGCATTAGCCGAGTGTGCGTCTGCTCTTCATCACAACACAGGTCAGCCGACAGGGACTGCTCTTTCACGGCGACACAAACATTTGAATAAACATGAGGATATTAACAAAGAAAGTAATCCAGCTTTAGCCAGCGTGTGAAAAATCCCTATATGGTCATTGGCAGCGGAGGGCGATAGAGGATGCACAATAACAGGCTTAAAATTGAGCTAGAACTGTGCATAATATAAGGATGTGTTTACTAATGTCAGTGATGGTAGGGATGGCCGCTGTGATTCCTAGGTACCAATGAGATTGAAAAGCATACTAGAACTACAACAATGCTAATGACAGAATATGATTTATTTTAGATTAGTTGTGGTCCATCCATCCATTTTCTTCCCCTTAATCCATTTCTGGGTCGGGGGGGTGTCAGTCAGAGCTGCACCCAGTACACAGAGCACCACCCCCTCTGATCCTCCTGCAGGTGGTGAGTCCACAGGAGCTGAGATCTTTCAGCTGGGGCTTTGGGCAAAGTGGGGGTAAGTGTCTTGCCCAAACTGGTTTGGAAAAATGGTTTTTTGTATAAGAATGCATTCAAAAGGAGGAAGGTCTAAGGACTGAAGCTTGGGCTTTGACTTGGATGTTTTCAATGTAGTCTGTGCATTGCTATTCACCCATTGTCCCTCTCTCCGTTTAATAAATGCACTGATGGGACTCGAAAGCCTGGACTCCTCACCTAGGACTTGAGGATCAGACCCCGTTAAGAGTTAGCAGAACTCTGATGCCCCTCGAGATGACAGTTGATGAGATTTTAGGGAATAAAAAAACAATTTGAATTGAACTTTCTTTTGTTTTTGTAATGACTGTTTGAGTGCTACGGAACAGTTCTGATCAATCACAAATGTAGACTGGAATTAGAGCGGTCAGATTATTTTTCTGAGCAAGTATTATGCATGATTATTCATTCTTATCAAACAAATGTATGTTTTGCATAGAACAAACTAGGCTGAATGTGTGGTAAAAGCAAGACTAGAACCAACTAAACAAGCTTTACATCAGGACTAAACCAGGAGTATTCTAAAATCATTGTGAATGTCTTACCTCCTGTGTCCGGATCATGGAAGTTAGGGTCCAAGCCTTTTTCCAGAAACCGTGAGAGTTTCTCGATGTTCCTCTGCTGCACATACTCCATAAACTTCTTCAAGTTGGCCTAATGGTGGAAAGACAGAGACAAGAGGGGGAGAAGGGTGTGATGTCAGACTTGTGTGGATGGGTATGTTAAATAATGTAGAGCACAGATGAAAGCCACAGTCTGCTGTTTCTCTACTGAGCTCCAGTGTGTGAGAAAGACATCACAGCCAAAGGGTGTGGACTGAAAATGTGTGAAACATTCTTTTAATTCACAGATGGTGATACCTGCAGTTAGAAATAAGACCCAATACTTTTTAAAGATTTATGAGTAAGAGGGTATAAATGTGCAGCAGACAGAATTTTATTACGAGTCCTCTGAGATTCTTACCAAATGCTCACAATCAAGCAGAAAGAGTGGTCAAAATACTCAGGACAACCGCTATCCTGTGATTCCATTACATTACAGCACTGATAGCATAGAATCAAGAAGGATGGGCTTTCTGATCGTAAAGACAAAGCTCATTTATTTCACTGATTAAGATTATCACAAGGAAAAGTCATATTGCTCCATTCCTAAATCTTACAGCAGAGGAGCCATCAGACTGAGCCAGTGTCTAAAGTATCCTCTATATGCAACTAGAAAACAGCAAACACATGTGAGTGTGAGCGGACGGCAGCGTACTTCTGTCTTTTGCACAATCTGAGTGATTCTATCTATGCCAAATGTGACATGTAAATTTCTCCCGTATGAGATATATTATCTTATCTCATTGTATTAGGGCTGTGTACCGATGTCAGTACAGAAACAAATAAAGTTCAGAACTGTACAATAAAAAATGGCACTTAAAACTGCCACCAATTAGATTTAATTCAATTCAATAAGAGTAATATGGAAAACCATGAACAAATCTGAATCATAGCAGCTGGAAAAAACTTTGCTTTGAATAAAACAAATGTACTAAAGCATCCTCAATTACTTTTAAGTAGGGTATGTGTGCTCGCAGATGACAGACTACGCACATGACAGTTAGTGAACTGAAGGGAGGAGAGTAATGAAACAATGTTAGAACTACAGAAGGCTCCAATGAGTCTAATCACTGCTATAAAAACACTAGCCCAAACTTAAACTGGCCACACACAAAACACAACCGTCCTGTGAAAACTCAACCACAACCACTCAGCAATCCGATCCTCCTCACATCAGCCTCCATTATTGCGTAACATCCAGCAGTTGCAGTCCACTACTCATTCTTTACAAACACTAGCTTTGCCACTCACCATATGCCGCTCAGTGCTCTGTCTTTGTCCGAATTTCCAAAACTACCCCTTCACTCTGCACCAGGCTACCAGGTCCAGCGCTCTGATCATCCTCGAGTCTCACCCAGTGAGATAAATTCACTAAGGCGCACTCCTCTCTCTTCTCCGCACATGAGAGGTAGTTGTTATGGTGATGGGACACAAAGCACACACAGCCGAGTAAGCGCGCCAAGGTTGAGGCTTGCGTTTCGATGTAACCGTGCTCTGCTGGTGTGGGTTCACATGAGGCACGAGTGATATTGAGAATTGAATGAATCACATTTACGCAGGCGAGCCGGGCGCCTAAATATTTTCACTCTATTATTGCCCTGACGTTCAGATCCACTTTTGATCAACAATTTGTAGTGGATAAATGAGAGGACAAAAAACAGCCACGTCACAATCTATTAAATCTGTTGACAAAAGGCTAATCTGAATGAAGTGAATGATGCATCAGCAGCTGTTTGTCTCCCATCACGTTAACACTAACACTGCTTAGCTTCTGAGATCTGACAGAATGGAGCGCCACCTTCAAGACACTTAAAAACTTTAAAAAACCTCTTTGTGCACATTCACACCCCAGAGTAGGCAGATATTAGGGACATGGTGGGTTGTCTGTAGTGCCTTGCCCACGGGAACAACTGCAATATTAATTTGTAGAATCAAAACTGCAAAGTACCAAATGGTACATGGAAACATCTGTAAACATCCCCTTTTGCTTCTTTTGAGCAACTATAGTCTTCAAAGAACTAACTGAAATCTAACTGACATGTGATTACCCACAGAAAATAATTTTGTGTACTGCAAAGACGTTTAGACATTTCCAAAATTTTTCCTTTGTTTTGCGAAGCACTTTGAGTTGTCATACGTATTATAACTTGGATGATTGAAGGAATTTTTGAAGGAAGCATGCATACCTATTATTATCAAGCCTCAGATTGAATTGTTCCTGTTGTAGAGATAAAAGAACAATATACCAAAAGACATACGAAAGTATAAAACATAAGAAAGTGCAGTAATAACATCAGCACGCACACCACAAGACCAAGATAGGAAGCGAAATGTTGCTCAGATCCCTGACTTCCAAGTGCAGCTTTATGGTCCATTTTATCAGCCCGAAGCCATTGGAACAAACAGGCAGTCATAACCCACTGACACACAAATGCAAATCAATCAGACTGAGGAGAGCATAGGGACTGGGGTAGTGCACATGTCTGCATTCAATATTGTAATCCTCCCATGAGTGGAGTGAAATGACGTTTACCATCAAGCTTAGATTGATGGTCAATGTCAGCAACGCTAAAAACAATATTAAATCTATTCATCTACACTGCCTAAACTATTTCATAAACATGGCATATCTGTGCCATACCTTATAAAAAATGAAAAGTGTAATCTGATTCATTATTGATAACGTTTGAGTGAACAAAACTAAACTGTTTTGAGTTGCTGGTTTCTGTTCTAAAAATTGTGTGTCTTAAATATACTGTACTGTTCCAGGAACTTCAGGAGCAAAGTAAGTAAGTAATGTTTATTTATATAGCGCATTTTACAGACCAAGGTCACCCAAAGCGCTTTACAATGTTCAGAGTTCAGATATTGTTCCAATCATTCCACACACGATGACGGAAGCAAGTCGCCGAACACACTGGCGCATCAGCCCCCAATCAACACCATACATTCACTCTCTCATTTACATTCAGACATATTTTGCATGTTTTTAGTGGTAGGGGAAATCGGAGCACCCTGAGGAAACGTACACAGACAAAGGGAGAGCATGCAAACTCCACTCAGAAAGGCCCTGTTCCGACCGGGATTCGAATCCAGGACCTTCTTGCTGAGAAGCAAGAGTGCGATCCACTCAGCCACCGTGCCTCCAAAGTGAAGATGATGACAAGCAGATGAAGTGTATACAAGGCATGCTTGCTCTATATGGTTCAATTTTAAGACTGAACATGTCTCTTTTCCTCTGTGGATACACAAGAATTTTGAAATCCCTCTGGCTTTCGTCAACACGACAGTTACCATTACTTTTGAGCATGGACAGGATCATTCAGAGCTCGTCTGAGGGAGCTGTATGAATTCATCAGTTGAGTCAGCCTTCACATTTATACGAATACAAGTAATAAATCCACCTAAATGTTTTCATCATATGCAATATCTTGGTTAATGTTAATGATTTTACAAGGATTGTAGTCGGGTTGGGAATCTCTGGGTTCACAGATACAATACGCAATATAGTAGTAGAAAGATTTTTTATTTCAAACATTATAAAAATGAAACTAGAAACATTAAACAAGATACAAAATCAAAACAAGACACAAAATAAACAGAACCGTTTGAACTGTTTATAGGGCTCATGATCATGATTTGGAAAAATATTGATATATTGCTCATGTATTTGACAATATAATTTTATATGTCCCAGGATATGATATGTCCCATCCAAAGGTGCGTTTATTATTCATCTTTGGTCCAGGTCCGAGCCGTTTGCGCAAGCATCCCCTCGCTCTCCTTGTGCGTCTCTCCTGTCTGTGTGTCTGTCTTGTTCGCGCTGGAACTTCAGCCCGCCACTCGGATGCTGCCATTCGCCCGGAACCCTCCTGTACGGCCAATAGGAGCCAGAGGGGGTGGGTCCCGGCTCAAAAGTGGCCAAAATGACGTGCGCTGACATGCTTGCAATACCACCCCGGGCCGATGGGGGTGGACCCGGAACAAAAATTAGCCAATGCTACCATATAGCATTCTCTCACCTCTCGAAAACACCTTTACAGGATGGTCCAAAAGTTGGCTCTTGGCCCAAATCTCCGTTCCACATGTGTGTCAATGCTGAGGGGAGTGAATCTTTTTTGGACCATTCTAGTTTACTCACAGTGAATTTTTGAAGTCACTCGTTTAAATGAATGGAGCTCCCGCCGGCTGACGCATGCACAGATGCGTTTTTTCACATTTTCCAGCCCCCCCGTGTCTCGTGGGTAAAATCAAATGAGACCCAAAATGCAAAACTGCAAAATAATGGATTTAAATAAAAGCAATGCAAAACAAGATCTAGCAAAAACACAGGGAACGAGGACAGAACTGAAACAGACGAGGGATGACAATGACGGAACAGGGAGTGAAGGAACACACAGGGCTAAATACAATACAAACGACACACAGGTGATACACAGGTGAGACACATGAGGGCAGGGCAGGTAATCAAACAACAGGAAGCACAACCAAAGAAGACACAGGGATGACACATTTCAAAATAAAACAGGAAAAAAAAACATGACACCGCAGCCATTTTGAATCACTCCATGAGAGCCCAATTTTTAGCCCATTAGTTAGAACGTCGGAGATTAGGCTTGACTATGTCCGTTAATATATACAGTCTATGGGCCAACCCAATCTGCGCCACCAACTGATTGCCAAGCAGCGCAGTGCTTCGTCCGCACGAGGCAGACCCCAAGATTGTATGGGATGCACTGATTGTATTTGTATGTGTAGATTTGAGTCCAACATTGTTCAATGCGGTAACAATGTATCACAACTATTCAGAACCTTCGACAAAACTTATACCATTGTTTTTGGTCCCCAGAAAAAAAAAAACTGAATGCAGTCCACTCCAGTCTCACTCCTAAAATCTTAGCCAAGCTTTTAACCATCTAAGAAACATTGCCAGAATCAAAAATATAAGTCTGTACACAGCCCCTAGTTTATACCACTCCCTGCCGTTAGGGAGCAGTATAAACTAGCTTTGAGCTTGTGGGTTTCCTTTCTGAAAGAGTGATAAAAAGTTTA